TTATTGTAAAAGTATTAAAAAACAACTCATATTTTAGGGGTGCTTTGATTCAAATTAGGGTTGCTTCAGCACCCCAAAAAAAAGAAAAAAAAAAAAAAAAAACGCCTATAGTTTCACATTTATTCTAGAGTTTGTAAAATGTGCAATTTCAAAACTTTACCTAAGGATGAGTTTCCCGTTCTGCTTCCTCTTCTTCTACCAGTTCTCTTCATCTTCCTCCAACAGCGGCATTAAAGCTGAACCCTGCTGCCAGTTTGTCCTGTCTGCAGCGGCCTGAAAAAAATGAATTGGTTTAATATTTTTGATGCATTGTATTTTCTACGTTATTCTTCTCACCCGTTCAATTAAAGATGAGGCGGTCCAGTCCTGAGGTGTGAGGGATCCACTTTGAGGCGCTGCTGTTTCCTTTGCCTCCTTTCCTTCTCGCTCCTTAAACAAGCTCTTTAACTACGATCAAAAGGATGTGAGAATTTAAATCATCATTTATTGATTAATTATCTACATTTATGACAGATAAAGTATTTTGATCTGATTGAGACGACCTGAAAATGCAAACATATTTCTATTGGTTGATTAAATCCTAGGCTGATCAGTGATGCAGTGGGAAGCACTGCTGCCTTGCAGCAAGAAGGTTCCACACTGGAAAAACGACCTAGAAATAAGTAAAAAATTCTTAAATAAAGTGTATTTACCCTTAATTTAAGTAGGCAAATGAGATAGTTTGCTCTTAAAATAGGATAATTAGATAATATGCACTTGAAATAAGACAATGCAATTGTGTTTTCTTATTTTAAATGTAAATTGTCTTGTTCCATTGGCAAAATGTTTCTCTTACCTCCTCAATCCAAGAACAAATGCAGCTATTTTAAGAAAAAAATGACTTATCTAGATTTTGTTTTTTCCAGTGCAGGTTTAATTCCTGGACCGGGGTCTTTCTCTATGGAGTTTGCATGTCTCCCTGAGCATGCTTGGGTTCTCTCTGGGTACTCTGGCTTCCTCCCACAGCCCAAAAACATGACTTTATGCTTAATTGGCTTCTCTAAATTCTCCTAAGCTGTGAGTGTATGCATTAATGGTTGTTTGTGTTCGTTTCCCAGCGATGGACTGGCGACCTGTCCAGGATGGGCCAGCCTCTCGCCCGTAGACAGCTGGAGATAGACACCTGCATCCCTTGCGACCCCGCTTTGGATAAGCGTGACGGAAAAAGGATGGATTAAATCCTAGCAATCGATTCAGGTTTAAATGGCCACCCCGCCACATTTAGGGTGGGCCATGAAAACTGATTTTGAATTTAATAAGTCATATCAACATTTTTAGAGTGACTGTAGCAGCATATATTGGCTTTACCCGATTCAATAGTGCTAAAATTTTATTGTCTAGAAGAATAAATCCAAACAAGCATTGGCTTCACTATGAATGTAAAACTGTTAGTGTCTGAATTAGCAGTTGAAAGAGAGCACCAGCCTAGTATTGCTGATCATATGGCCAATACTATGTTATATAATTCTATTTCATTATGACTGATTGTCAAAAAAGATGAAAAAAGGCTCTTAATGTAATCCTATGGCTAAATCCCCTGTGGTCTATGCCGTGTGTTGCTCTACCTGCTCAGTGACCAGCCTTCTTTGCTGCTCCACCTCAGGATTAAAAGGACAGATGGTTTTTTTCTTCTTGTCTTCAAAAAGGAGTTTCCCATCTTTAGCCTGAAGTTAAGACATGATTTACACATTTTTGCATGTAAGGTGCTTTGTACATTTAGGGGCAGAGATGTTAAATCCCCGGCTGGATTTTTGAGATTCTATCAACAACCCCAGAGTCTCTAGATTTATTTGTCTTCTGGTTTATTGCAGGTAGGCAGCTAATAAGGGAAAAATCAGAATAAAAACATAAATATTTAAATCAAAGCAAGACTGAGAACTTTGTTCAGAAATTTGAGCTGGTAGCTCCCATCTAAGGAGAGACCTTGACCCACTCTTCTCCTTAAAATATTATTTTTTTAAATTGCCTCCTGTCTGGTAGCTAAAGTTTTATCTCACTCTACTGATTTTCCACAGTAGCGAGGTCTGGAGACTAACTAGGCGACTTTATAATTTTAAAGGCACACTATGCAAC